GCTGGAGAAGAAGACTCTTATGCTGCTTATGTGCTGACCTCGGGCAGAAACACCTTCAGTAAATTTGGGAGTCCGTGCACCATCGACCACCAGTCACGCTGACAGATTCCAGCCCTGCCCTCTTTGCTGTTGTTTGCTGGTCCTTAATCCAGCCCTTCAATCTCTTACCCAATAAATATGGTGTCCTACTCACTGGGAAATTTTTCATCTGGTACCATTGGTATTTCTGGGACCTGGTTCTCTCTGGTGCCTCATGCCCGTCCAGCCTCCRTGTGAAACGTCGCATCTTGGAGCTGTATGCGCAGAGCAGAGGAAGAAAAAGCAGCTTCTCTGAAGATACGGAGATTCTGATTTGGTGTTTATAAAGGCTTAAAATCGGCATCTTCAATGCTGTAGACAGAAATCTTCATCCAGAAGGCCTGTGAGTGACTGTGGCTTCATTTCGTGTGAGAGTCCGAGGATGGAAAGAGAAAGCTCTCCTGTAGAGAAGTTCCCAGTGCTGGCCCTGGGAGGCWGTGGTTCCTCAGCCCTCCTGCCCACCCTAAAGGGGAACGGTGACTTCTCCTTGGCCTGATTCAGTGCTCAAGAAGGGGCCCACGTGAGTACAAATTCCTTTGACTCTGCAGGCCCTGTAGACGGAGCCGTGGGGCTGAGAATAAACTGCAGCATGGGGCTCTCATTTCTGCAGGGGGAAGACTGGTTTTCATGCAGCGCCTTTTTATCTATAAGGGGGGAAAGAGTTAAGTCTTTATKTACTCACTTAATTTTCTTTATCCCGAGCAGAGCTGAAACCTGCATTTTTGTGCTTCCTTTGATATGCGTTTCGCTGCCAGCCGGTTTGAAAGCCCCGCGTTCCTCCAGGGACTTTCCAGCCAAAACTGATGCAAACTCTTTCTTCTCAGGTGCCTCACGATCATCTGTCATCCAATGCAAGCCAGGAGGCAACTGCCCCAGCAGACACAGAGGCATGACTAGGCAGCTCTCCCCTCTATCTGTTGCTGAAGATTCTGCTGCTCCCATTCTTGAGCTGCAGAATCGAAGTCCCTCGGGAATCTGTCGGCACAGCAGAGTCGAGAGGCAGAGCAGATCAGGTAGGAACCGCAGCCGCAGTCCCGGCGCCTGCCGGAGGCCCCTTCCCTCCGTCTCCGGAGAGGTGGGGCAGTGCCCGAGCATGCTGATGTGTGAATTGTGGTGCAGAGCCACGTGCAGGTCCTGGCCGAGCCCGGGGGTGAGCGGGAAGGCGKCGCGGACGGGAGGAGAAGGCCTGGGGTTCGCAGGTACTCGGTGTGCGGAAGATGCTCAGAGCTGGGTTACCCCAGCGCGGTTCCATCGCACAGAGGGGCTGGGACTCCTCAGCTGCAGCCTGGMCACACAGCAGGACCCACAGGAGTTCCTTCTCAAAGGCAGCGATGACCTCGGCTCGCACCGCGGATGGGCTGATGAAGAGGAGGAGAAGGAGCAGCACGTGGAAGGATTTCTRGGGAAGAGCATCACAGCTCAGAGCGCCGGTCAGCTGCACGTCAGGGCTTCCATCAGCCACTTTGCTGCAGCAGTTTAGCTCAAATGAACCTGTAGGTGTAGTGAACACGGACTTCTTCACCGTGGTGTCCATCCATCAGCTGCAGGGATGGGATGGGAGCAGTCACAATATACAGACACAGGTCTGTGAGCCTGCTAAACCACACTGTTGAGACTTTGASTGAGTGAAGTCATTTCACTGTCTGAGTGTTTTGGAAGGAAATTATTTAATTGCCCAAGTTCTTTGGAAGACTGCCTGTGTAGATACTGTGAGCAGAAAGTGGAGGAAGAACAGGTTGRATCTCCTGGGGGAGCTGAACCTTCCTCTTGTCACTCATCACCGATGGCAGCAAGAGTCACCCATTTCCTTCTTGTGCTGGAAACAGAGAATCTCGTACTCCAGGAGTACTCTCTTGATGGAAATCCTCAGCAGAGTGTTGGAGGTGATTATTGCTGCAAGGAGAGGATGATGCAGCACCTTGCAGTTAAGATCATAGCTGAGATACGAAAAAAAAAACAATCTCATTTTTCCAGACATCAGGCTGAAATAACAGTGCATGGTGGCATTTAAGGACGTCCAAAATCAGAATCCATCTTTTCCAAGAAAGGGCTCTAGGCCACTTGAGTAGTGCCTGGACATCATACTCTTCTAAATATTTATTCTGCATTTATTAATTTCCCCTTTTATCCTGATCTTCCCTTCCTCATCAGAGAAATCTAACTATGACTGCCCCAATAAGTAAACAAATAGAAAGAATGTTATTTTCTAGTGTTTAGTTGCCAAATAGTCAAAAGAGTTCTGATGAAAAGCTGCAGATTTGGATTTTCCTCATCTCCCTGAAAACAAAAGGCTTTTCTGTGACCGTCTGGTCAGTAAGARTTGCACTGTGGACCAAAGGACTGTTTTGGGGTATTTCTGCTCACTGCCTTGCACACAGTTTGCCACTGTCCAGTGCCATCTCCCCGTGTCACCTGCAGTGTGATCTGCATTCTTACACATTCTTTCATCCTCGTTGAGTCCTCAGCTGGTTCCTGTGCCCTCGTTCCAGTCCCATCTAAATGCAGGCACCAAGGATTTCTGCTGCCTTGCTAATTGTAAAATTCTGCCTCCCAGCCACTTTGGCTGATAATTTGTTTTCTTCTCATTATAATTTGGTGTTTAAACACAAGTGCTTGCTCCAGGCCCAGCTTCCTCACTTGGGCATCCTTAAACCTCCTTAATAGGAACCATGTGCCTTCCAGTTCAAGCCCTGTCATTATTTTGAAAGCTATTTCTTATCTTGTCCTTCTGATTCTTTGGCCAGGAATTAGGTGTGAACATCCCGTGGATTTTGAAAGCAGCTGTCTGGCTACTCTGTCACTGGGATCAACCACAATTTCACTTAAGTTAAATATAAATATCTAATCTGAAGAGAGTTGAGTGTCTCCAGTGAGTTTATAGATACAGGGCATGGAATCAACTTCCCTCTCACCATGCTTTTCCATTGTAGTTCAATTTAAAGGGATTCTAGACAACCTTTTTACCCTGAATACACAATTATTTCCTAACTACATCACAAGGGATGAATCCCACGCACTCACCACTTACAGAAACTCCCCATTCTACATTTGTTTGTACATTTATTTATAAAATCTTACACAGATTTTTAAATTCAAGGTAGGTCTTGCAACAAGTGTGTTTTTCTGTGCCTTTCCCTGACATTCAGACCCAGGACTGTAAAATCCAAGTRAAATGCTGATGGTAGTGTCATGCATAGCAACACCAATTGCATCATTATTTTGTAATTGAAAAATAGAAAGCGTGGATGAAAGTGCYCTATTCTTCTATCATTGTGTGATTATTTTAAGTGTTAGCTGGAAAAGGACTAATTGCATGGTAGTTTTACTTAGCAGGAAGACCTGCAAGTGGATGCTACTATAATATATTCTTTTTAAGCCATTCTAACTTGCTAATAAACTGTAATTTACCTTTCAATAGCTGTCAGTCATTATTAGCACCATAAAAATATCTATTTTCTCTCAGCAGCCAAGGAGAATGCTAAAAGGATGCTTGCTTTTTCAGAGCCGTGGCTGATTATCCTCTGCATGTTTTTAATAAACCTGTAATTTTATTTAAATTCTTGATTCACCACTAAACAATGGAGCCACCGAATACAGATTATTTTTAGGAAAAAACCACATCACATAATTACAACTCCAAAAAGCTTCATGTCCTAGTTAGGAGAATTGTTGATYGCAAATGCACTCCCTGCTGTGATAAATCTTTTTTTATGTGTAATGTTGGTCTGAGGTAATAGCTGGGAACCCCAGTTTGACATTTCTTTATGGCTGTAGCAAAAACGTTAATATAAAAGGAAACTAARCATGAATGTGAAAGGATACCTCTGTCACATAAAAGTTGAATATAGGACAGGGTRTTTTCTCACTGCAGTGCATCTGTAGCTTCTCCTGAAATCATATAATTTMTTATATATCACATCAGGTATTAATGTGACTGATATTTGATAGGACTAGTCAAGAGCAGCTTCAAGCCATGATTTTTAGATTTCCCCCTTTTTCTTCTACCAAGCTGATGTGATGTGGTCAAACAGGGGTGAAGGGTTGGAGCTCAGCAGTGCTCCGGGAGCTCCAGGGACAGCAGTGTCAGTGCTCCCTGTTTTCATCCGGGATCTGGGAAATCCAAATAGGAATCATGGGTTGAATATCTGGGAGATTTGTCTGGAGAGCAAGGCACCAGTCAGGGAGATGAAATTCCCTCCACTTATGTAAGGAAAGCTGTACTTGAATCTGAAAACCACCGTGCTAAAATGGGAAATGTCCACTCTCCGGTTGCTCCTTGTTTATGTGCAGAGGTTTATTTCTAGGCATGCCAAGCTTCGCTTTTGTCCAGTTTCCTTTGTTAACTTCAAAAACGTAAGTACACTGACCTGACTGCCAAAAGCCTTTCTTGCTTGGGTACATAAAACCACCAAACTGCTGCTTTTTTCCCCATCCCAGCTTGCAAATAAAAGAGTGATTCYGGAGTTAAAGTCTTGAGTAATGAGAGCTTGTTCCTGTCTCCATTCCTACAAGCTCAGAGATCTCTTCTGTTGCMCTCTTACACAGTAATTGAGTTTATAATGTCRTTGGTTCCAAGGGATGTTATTTTATTCTGGAGGTTTGCTGGCAGAGGGAATGAAGGGCTGATAAAGCAAATAGTGACAACAGTTTATCTGTAATGCTGTTACCTCGGCCCTTGGTGTTGTCTTTGTGCTTTGTTTCTGCCTCCTTGAAGTGACAGAGATGGTATTATTAAAATATTTCTGCCTGGTTTTTCAGTATTTATGGGACATGAAGGAGTTATGGGGAGAAGGCAAGGGATGATTTGTGACTTGGACCAGAAGGGGAGATTTTGCCAAGGATTGTTTTGATTGCATTCATTGCCTGTACAACTCTTGCTCTATTCTTCCTTTTTCTTTTTTTTTTTTTTTTTTTTTTTCCAGGAGAAGAAGGAACACAAGCGCACACAGAGAGCAGCAGCCAAGAAGCTGAAGGACAGACACGATGCCAGTCTTGCACATCCACATTTCTCAAGCTAATCTGGAGATTCCTGATCATTTTGTCCGTCTCTTCCTCCTGGGTTGGGACCACACAGTTTGTCAAAATCGCATTTGAGACCTTTGACTGTCCTTTTTTCATGACTTGGTTCTCAACAAACTGGAACATTATGATTTTTCCCATTTATTATTCCGGGCACCTTGCAACTGCACAGGAAAAGCAGTCTCCAATCAAAAAATTCAGGTAGGCTTTATGGTGGCAGTATCCCTTTAAAACAGCCTAATTCCTGAAGGCTGAGCTCATTGCTCTGCTCAGTTCCAGGAGGTGGAATAAAGGTCATGGTGCAGGAAACCTCATTCATAAATAGCTCACAGGAGGCTGACAGATGAGTGATGTGTGCTGCATCAATGGCTACTTGATTGTTAAAGGGGTTTTTAATGAGTTGGAAAGGTCAATAATTTGCTTATAATCTTGCTGTTACATTGTGTAATATCTCTGTATTTTGTGTTCTTGCCTGAATCAGGCCATTGATTAATCTGTCCTGTTCCATTTATGGTGGAATAACGGTGTTGAGTGCAACCCAACCAACTCCTGGTTGAGAAGGAAGATTCTCAGAGCTGAGGAGGAGGAGGTTTCCATGTGGAAGACCATGGCTTGCTCTCTGTKCTGAGCAGGTATAGCAGGATGCAAACTGCCCTTTCCTCCTGCTGGAAATTTATAAATCCATTTTCAGTGGCCCCTGGGAAATCATAGAAATACAGGGTTAAGGGAGAGCGCAAAGGAATCATCCAGTTCAGCCACCAATACGGCAGCCAATTCTGGAGAAAAACACAATCTGATCTGTCCCCAGGTGTTGGAACCACCACCACATTCTTGACAATGAATTTCAGAGTTGTTCCTCCACTTTTATTATTCCAGTGATCTGACAGTGACATAGGGGCTGCTTTAAAGGACAGGACAAAACTCAGCTCACCAGGAGATACCACACCTTGCCAGGGAGGGAAGAGATTCACAGGATTGTTTTGAGCTGGGGCCCAGTTCTTCTGTTCCAGTGCAGGCTTGCTTTGAAAATAGCCTGACTGAGTGCAGCAGAATTGTCTGTTCCACCAAGGATTGCCCATCCTGTGGCCCATCCCTTGCTCCTGCTGTCACTGAGCATTCAGGAAATCCCATTTGTGCCTGTCAGGCTGGAGTGTAGCAGGGCCAAACTCTTCCCTCGSCTGCTTTTAGCCAGGATCTGGGATGTAATTTGGCCCTAAATTATCATTTCTGTCAAATCAGCGTGACTCAATTGCACTTAATTAAGTGCTGCTCTGCAAACCCTGGTGCTTTGTGCGTTAATGATGCCTCATTCAGGTTTTTGTTGGAGTGTTTGTGAGAACATTAACAGTGTCAGCTTGGCTTCTGCCCGTGGGGTGAGGTTAATAACAATTGCACAGCAGATGAGGAAGAAGGTGGGAAGAAATATCCCTGCAGATAAATCCCCTGCAGTTGGTTCATTGATTATATCTCTATCAGAGCAAGATTTTGGAGCAAAAAAATTGGGGCAATGCCTAAAAAAAAAACCCTGTGCTTAAATAATTGATACATTTCCCCAGCTGTTAGGAATTCAACTTTTGAAGTTGAGGACACAGTCTTAAATGCCATGGGGAATTTCTGCAGTAGGTCTGTGAATGTTGGAATCAGGAGTTAGAGCTGCTGGGAATYTTCCCAGAGTATTTCTTATTCCAGGTTTGTCAGGAGAGCACATCCCAAGGAAGAAGCAACTGCTGGGAAATAATGATTTCCTCATGGGGACTCTGCCAGTTTTRCAACCTGACTATCCAAATCCTTTCAGTTTGGATATGGGATGGGCATCTCTTCAGGATGAGCTCTTGATTTTTTCATGACTTAAAGAATTGAAAAGCATCACTTGTAGTTTTCAATTTGTMGTTTTCAATTATACTGATCTAATTTTGAAAGGATCTTTGGAGATCATTTGACCCAACCTCCTCCCCAGAACAGGGATATTTTCAAAGCTGCATCGATTGTGCATTTGCTTGGTTTGCCTTCTTGGTATTGTTCTTGTCACAAGGCTTTTTATTACATTTTGTAAGATTTCTTGTTGCTTCATTTGCCTGTTTTGTTCTGTGCAGTGGCTAATTCTTGTCAATAAATCCATCTTGTAGCAATTCCAGGCTTGCCTYAGAGTACAGAGGTGTCTTTGGAGGGTGTAGTTAGTCTCTAGGAGCTTTAGAGACATTTTGTCCAGCAGATATTCCCTGTGGATCTGAACAGCACCTGTGACGTCTTGGCAGAGATCGGTGATCCTGAGAGGGACTTGCAGAGTGCAAAGAGAGCCACTGCTCCTTTAATAAATCCCACTTGGAAGAGCAGGAGTCTCAATCCTCACCTTTAGATTGGTTTTCTGGAAAGTTTAGGYAGCYCAGTAYCTAGMGGAGCTTYAGGAGAGATGGRTTTTTGACAAGGACATGGAAAAGGMATGGCTTCAGACTGAGAGAAGACAGGGTTAGATTAAATATTGRRAAGAAATTCCTAACTGTGAGGATGGAGWGGCCCTGGCACAGGGGCCCCTGGATCCCTGGAAGTGTCCAAAGCCAGGTTGGATGGGACTTGGAGCATCCTGGGGTAGTGGAAGCTGTCCCTGCCATGGCAGGGGATTGGAACTGGATGAGCTTTGAGATCTCTTCCAACCCAAAGCATTCTGTGATTCTGTTATTATAATATTTGAGATTACAAATTGTGCATTTCTTACTTTTCACACTTGACCTTAGAGATTCAATCTTGTGGCCTTARAAAAAGTCATGGTTACGAGCTCCCTGCTGCATTTGGATGAAGTGTCTTGGTTGTCCTGGGGCAGAAGAGAAGCTCCTGGTATCCCTCAATATTGTAAATACAAGATCTGTCCCACAGAAAGAGCTTGAAACTCCTTTTATTTGGATAAGGTGATCTGAAGCTCAGCAATAGGAAATCTAACCCTGCCAGCATTTTCCACAACAGAAGACACAGCACAGACCTGACTTAGGGTCCTCATGCAGTTGTGGTGTGGAATAGCTGGGTAAAATTTTCAATGTCAGTACATTTGAACCAGACAGAGCTGGCCAGGCTCTCACTGACAGCTCAGCTTTGGTCAGTCCTGGGCACACAATGCACCCGAGTGCTTGACCCCACTCAGTTTGTGCCTGTCCCTGCAGTGGAGCTAGGAGGTATTTTTTTAAAAATCAGTATTTTATTGCTGCCAATGCCGTCATTTAGATAAAAGCCCCTGAGTGCTCCCAGAAGGTGCTGCTGTGCTGTTTGCTGCCCTGATGTCACTGTGGCCCTGCCAAGTCCTAATCCAGGTGATGTCACTGCATTCCCTGTTCTGTGCCCCAGCTCTCTRCCTGTTTGCTGCTCTTCTTCTGTGAAAGAGCTGTTTAAAACCTGCTGCTGGTTTCACTCCAGAGGATGCTGTGTGTCAGGGGGGGGAAAAACCCACTCCTGAGCAGGGCCTGGCATCAGAATTATGAGAGGGCACACAGCTATTTGGTGGGTGCCAGAGGCAGAGCTACACGGCTGCTGAAGGTGCTGTAATTGCTGAGAGTGTGGCTCACTGCCCAGAGCTGATGGCTGAGGGCTACCTGCAAATCAAAGGAGTTATTTATGTTAGAGGGCAGGTTTTAAATAGACTSCTTGTGCATTTGGAAATAGTTTGTGTCATAGTTTCAGGGTCAGCTACCCTTAGATAGTCTGTGCCTTCAGGTCAGCAGCCTGCAGTGTTGTTTGTGTGGGGAGGGTTCCAGGGAGCCCCCTCTCTCCTGAGCTCAGGGTTTTAATCACTGTCATGTCTGATGGCTCCTGCAAGTTTAATTTGAGCTGCTTGTCARAGAGGCTGAGTTAACCACCGAGCCACCAGCCCTCACAAAGCCTCAGGCGATCTGCTGCAGCCGTGACTGGGAAAGTGAATTGTTCTCCCATCTCCTCAGTGACTGAGCATTATTCATGGAGCTCTCCCAGGCACAGGGGTGAATTCTGTGAGTCTCTGCTCGCTCAACACGACCCTGTCAGAGACTTTGCTGCATTTTCTTCACTGAGAGCTGAGGAGCCACCAGCCCCTGTTTTATCTGATGGCTGCTGTCTGATGGAGGCCCTTCCACCTGCTCAAACACCCATTGCCTGGGCCTGAGGAGCATTTCCAGATTCTTTTCCCAAATGTGCACCTCTGCTCATCCCTCCCACTGCAGCTGGGAACTCAGAGATACCTGACATTGCTGGGGCAGCCACAGCTGCATCTCCCAAATCACTGAGCAGCCCAGAGTCCAATGCAGAATAATGAGGATTCCCACTCTCAGGGCACTTGGGCTCCATCCCTCTGACTCTGCCCTGGGTTTGTCTGTGTGCAGACATCCCAGAGATCTGCAGAACAACAAAACCTGGCCCATCCTGGCATCTGGGTCCAGCTGAGGCAGCCCAGGCATTTTTCTGTCTCATTTTAACACAGCACAAGCTTYTTTGCTCTGAGATCCTGACACCTCCTGAGGCAGGCTGGGTTTACAGTGATCCAGTCATGCCCCAGAARTGATGGCAGAATTCCCACCACACTGGTCTGGAGGTCACAGTGCAGGTCTGGTGTCGTGGAATGGTGACCTTCCTCTCTTGAGGTGACACGTGGTCTGAGCCCAGAATTACCCTCTGCATCCACCCAGGTCTCAAGGGAGAGCATCTTTTATGGGTAAACTGCTGCATCTGCATGTCAGGGAACACTGAAGTGCTACCAATGATTCCCTTCTTACACAGGGAGTCTTGTCACCTCTCATTCCTGTCAAAATCAGAATTACAAAAGCAATCAAATTTAGGCATTAATATATTTGCTTTGCATCTCCAATAAATGATGCACACCAGTAGCTGTTCTRTTTTTGTATTTCAAACACTTTTATTCTCATCTTTGGTGAGCAGGGCTCCTAAGAGTGTTGAGGTCAACTAGAGTGAAGGAGATAATTAGCAGATTCAGCAGCCTGAGTGTTAACTCGTTGCACAGAGTTTGAGAATGGAATTTATTTATTCCCAGAAATAACTGCTTTGGACCCCAGGTTGTCCTCGTGGCAGCAGGGAGTGAGTGGTTATTGAGTAGAATYGTGGAGTCATTTAGGTTAAGATGGGGCTGATCTCAGTTGTTACACAGATGTTGTTATTCCACTTTCCTCAAAATGAGAGTGATGGTTTCCAATATTAGTGGTAAAAAAAAAACCTGCAAGGTTTTTAACAGCAGAATTCCTAAGAATTAGTAAAAATGGTTTAGGGGCTCTGTAAACGATTTTGTCTTCCAAATCAGGATGATTATCACACCACCCCCACTACCCCCAAATAACAAATGTTTTTCACTTCACATTGCAGCGCAATCTTTGAAGTTGCTAATTAGTTCTACATAATGAGTGTTTTAGCCATCTTCCAAAAACAGCCACRTTTGGCTGTGAATTCTTGGGAGCCCTGAGGCCTCAAAGCATTTGGATTATTCCCCTCATGTCGTTTTCCTTGGAAAGATGTGCTGCAGGCTGAGGGTGCCTTGGTTCACTCCACTGCTGTTTGAGGACATTTGTGGGATCTCCCACGGTTTAAGCAGTTTCAGAGAGCCTGCCAGGCCAAGAATTGAAGCACACTGGGAATATCTTCAGGAATACCCTCAACCAAGAATGCAGACAGCGGAGTTGCTAAAAAATGTCCTTGTCCGTTTGTGAAAGGTAGAAATTCCTGAAATCCTAAGAGGCAAACAGCTCACTTGAGCTGTGTGTGAGACAGTGTTTGGGAAGCTGGAGGTTTTGTTTGCAATTTAATCCTGAAGGAAAAGTGTCCTAGAAAATACAGCTTTTCACTTTGTAATAAAAGGAAGCTGTTAAATACCTTTCCCTCTCTTTTCTCACAATCCTGCTTGCCTGGCTCACTCCTCCTGCCTGGTGGCTCCTTTCCCACCACACTCATGGGTCTGGCAGTCTTTTTTTTTCTTTTTTTTTTGAGTTTCTTTAGGCAATTCTTAAAGCTTCCTTGGCCACATGTGAGAATATATTTCAATAAGAATAAAACCAGGGCTTGGAGAAATGCAAGAAAAAAAAAATTGCCAAATCACAGAGAAAAAATAATGATTCTAATCCCTGTGCTCATGGCCTTGAAGGCAGAGCCTGGGARCTCTCAGAGCATTGCAGATAACCTTCATTTGTGTGTGTGAGTCCCTGGGATTATTGTTGCACAGAGTGTGATTATTCCAGGTAAGTTACTTCCTTTCTTCTCGCGAAATTGCTGTTTTAAGAAGATTGTGGGTTGTTTTCTCTGTGTGAATTAAATAATGGATTCTCCTGGGCGTGCTGGAGTAGCAASGAAAAGCACGGGGACGCGATAAAAGTCTGATGAATGTTTGTTATGCTGGGGTGAGTGCTGAGGAGAATCCTGGCTGAGACTGAAACTCTTTTCTTTTCGTAGGGAATGCAGTCGGATTTTCGGTGAAGACGGTCTGACGCTGAAACTCTTTCTTAAAAGGACTGCTCCCTTTTCTATTCTGTGGACTTTGACTAACTACCTGTATTTACTGGCTTTAAAGAAGCTCACAGCCACAGACGTCTCTGCCCTGTTCTGTTGTAACAAAGCTTTTGTCTTCTTGCTTTCTTGGATTGTGCTCAAAGACAGGTTCATGGGAGCAAGGGTAATGAACGTGCCTCCTTTTCCACTCTCTCATGTTTCCATAATTGAACTTACACCCATCAACCATGGTGCTGTCACAGCAACACCGTGAAAACATTGCTCATTTGGTTTTATGCTGAGTCCTGAGCCTCAGGATCAGAACCTCAGAATTTTAGACGGAATTCAGTGTGGGAATTTCAAGTGTAACTTGATGGATTACAATAGAAGAACCCCAGTTCCATATAAACCTGTTCTGTCTTGGCTTACTGTGCTGGAGTTTAGTCAGTTTTATTTCAAACTTAACTGATGTTTAAGTGATTTAAGTGATGAATTTAAGCATCACCTAAGCATTTAAATGATGAATGCTTAGGTTTAACCAAAGCAATTTTATTCCTTGTTTGGCTAGACAGATGTTTTCAGTGTGTAATGTATTTTTCTTGTACTACCCTGCTACTCTTCACACACACATTTACACGTGCCTGTGCCAAAATTGMTTTAAGAGGAGCACAACTGTTTCCTGTAGAGGTATTTTACACTGACAAAAATTGCACTGACCCTGCAAAAATTGAAAAAAGAACTGGAACACAATGATGTGCCCCTGGATCTGGGGAAAGCAGACTCATTCCCTGTAATTTTCCATACACAAATCTAACAAACATACAGCAATTTAAACTGTTGGCTTCACACCTTGGCTGAGGGGTAGTGAGGATTTCTGCCAGTTCATTGGTGCAGGTTTCCCCCTGAAATGGCTCAAGTTCGTGTTGGGCACAATCTTGACTGAATTACTGAGAGCCTTGAGCTTCATTTGGGTCTGGCTGGGCCAGGTGTGATGGCTGTGACCAGAAGGGAGCAGTTTCCATGGATTTAAGTTCCATGGAAAGCATGATGGATCAGGAGTTGTTTGTTTTTTTTTATTTTTTTTTTTAAATGGGCATAGAAGCTTTTTTATTGATGAATAGGAAGGTTCAAAAATGAAAGGAAAAGGCATCCTGTTGCACAGGCATCTCATCTGGCTCTCAGAGCAGCCACCAGGACACTGAACACAGCACTGGCCTTGCCAAGTTGAGGAAGTGAACCAGGTAAAGCCAGACACCTGGATCTCTATTTCATATAGAAAATACAATTTCATGTCTGAAAATACAGAATGTGACCCACCGTCACTGAACCCTCTGGCTCATTCAAAGAATAAACATGGTTTAAAATCCTCAGTTCTTCTCTACAGAAACAACAGGAACAATAACATCCCCCCTTGATCATCTCAGGTACCACCGGAGAAAAAGGGAAATTTTGTACCCTTTAATCTAATTTTTGTCTCAAAGCAACATCTTTCTGGAAGAGCTAGCATAGCTCTCGTGTTTTCTTAGCCTTCTCTTTTGAAGAAAACTAGAAATAAAAGCTATTTTCAGTTATTATTTATTTCTCACTGCCTKAAAAAAAGGTTTCCATAAATATGCATTAGTTTTAATGCCATAAACACCGTGGGGGTTTACACGAGAAAAACCTGGCAGGAAAAGTGAGCAGCAAATCCTGCACGTAACAGAAACTGGATTTCGCTGCTCACTGGCAGAGCCTGGGTGCCYATTGCTGGAGAGGCAATTCAGAGCATTTTCCAGCAGCTCTCCTGACAGAAAAACACTTAATGGTGTTAATAACCACGCAGGAGGGTGTTTGAGAGCTAAAATATGACATTTTATGCCTGAGTGCTGCTCTCACCAGCAACCCCTCGGAGAGCAGCGGGAATTGGGTTTTTTGGATAACAGGAGACAGAAATAAAGGTTTAATCCTACACCCTGAGCCATGGTTTTGTGGGAGCACTCKGCACCAGGAGCTCAGCTGGATTTTCCCAGGATCTCTGGGTACATTGAGGTGGGGATGCCCTGAACACCCGGGACAGCAGCAGCTCTGCAGCACATTGCCAGCTCCCTGTGCACCCAGAGTGGCTGCTATCAGTCCCCAGATTGCCCATGGATGCCCACAGGAGCTGCCTGACATCCTCTGGTCCCCTGGCACTGCTCCTGCACACCCAAAAGGTTCTGCTGGTCAGGCTGCGGGGCTGGGTGTTTAGATGCAATGGGGCTGGGTTTTTAGATGCCATGGGGCTAGATTTTTAGATGCCATCTCTAAAAGACAAACCTGTGTTGATGGCCACCCTGTGGAATGGCACAATCCCACCTGAGGGAGCACTGAATAACTGCAGAAGGGCTGCACACAGAGTTTCAGCTGCTGGTGCTGTGTTTGAGACACCTAGAGCCTGTGCTCTGCAGGGAGAGCCATGCACCCTCAGTGGTTGAGCTGTAGCATCAATCTGTGAGAGACAAACACSAGGGGAGGTTTAGGTTGGGTTTTAGGAGAGATTTCTTTGCAGGAAGGGTGGTCAGGTATGGCACAGGTTGTCCAGGGTAGTGGTGGAGCCAGCATCTGTGGAAGTGTTCAGAAATGTGTAGGTGTGGTGCTTGGGGACGTGGTTTAGTGGTGGGTCTGCTGATGTTATGTTAAGGGTTGGGCTCAATGAGGTATTTTCCAACCTTAATGATTCTCTGGGTCTGTTTACCCATAAAAGTAGGGTAAAAAGCAGGCAGACCTCAGGTACYTTCTGTCCTGGRCAAGAACACCCAGCACAGTCCCTGCCTGCACTGTCACCTTTGCWTGGACACCTCTGACCATCTCTCTCTCCAATAATGTGTCCATGTTATACTCTGACAGCTTTGGCTCAAAGCAAGCACAAATATTTAAAAGAATTTATGTATTTGAGTAGTTCTTCTGGCTTGTGGTGCTTAGATTTAGCTATTTTCTTAAATGTTTGCATATTTAAGCCCTTGGTTGGGTTTTAACTGTAAATCAGTCCTTGTTGAGTAGGGACAGAGCAGTTTGGGGACACAGGTTTTCTGCTCCATCCTTAAATATATTCAAGACCAGGTTGGAGCAGCCTGGGATAATGAAAAGTGTTGGAACKGGATGATTTTTAAATTCMCTTCCAMCCCAAACCATTCTGGGATTCTTTACTACAGCACCTCGTCTTCTGCTGTGCTCCACATGTTAAAAAATGTTTCTGATAAAAGGTTGGTTGGCCTCGTGCTCTTTCAAGGAAAAAAAAAAGAGGCAAGCTAATTTCATTCAACCTAGGAGGCTCCAAAAGAAAGTTACTACACTATTCCATTAATTAAAATCCTTGTTTAATGAGCTGACAAGCACCTTTGCTTCCCTGTGACCTTGCTGCTGCTTGTCAGAGCAGTGCCCAGATGTGAGCTCAGCTTTCTAAAGCCAGCACCTGAGGCAGGCACAGGTCAGCTGTGCTGATGCCCTGAGCTGTGATGTRCAGGAGGAGCYTTGAACAGGAAATTTAAATAATTTMCTTGCMATTTTTAGTTTCAGGTCTTTTATGTCTCAGGAGGTGTTGATGYTCCACATGTGTCCATCATTTTAGTTGTTTCAGGGAAAAAAAAATGCCTGGTTTTATAAATACTGGATTAAATTAGGAAACTGGCTCTCTAMATTTTGTGTAGTCAGACTGGGAATGAGTTTTTCCTGGCAGGAAGAAAAGGGATGATGGATCTACTTTCMCTGACAAAAGGAAAGGACTGAGCARTGAATGYACTGAGAGCTAAACCTTGGTCCTTTCTCCTGGAAGGAGGAGATTTCAAATTTCTGCATTGGGGTCTTGTGTTTTGCCTTCTGAGACAGACACATTGCTGGAAATACTCCATCTGACAGCCAAAATCTTGAATTTCTGTGCAGGGCAGGATGAGCAGTGCAGCCTGAGGTGGATCCAGGCAGTGTGGCAGGGCAGGGGTGATTTCTGCACACTGAGAGGAGAGACCTGGCTGTGAGGAGTTGTGGCTGTAACCCAGCATTGCTGCAAGGCTGGGACTTGTGTGGTGTCTCCAGGATGACCCAGCCCCTGGAATTTGTTATTTTGGGGAGGAAAAGGGGGAACCTCCTGGTCCCTGTTGTTAAAGCCCTCCCAGATCTCATTACACCACSGAGAGATTGTGATTCCACAGGATTGCAGCTCCATTTCATGATGAATGAAGTGTCAATAATACCTTCAGGTTTAGGAGGCAGCTTTGGTGACCTGTCTTGGAGCTGGGATRTTTTAAATGTAAATAAAGTGRGKTAYAGATGTACAGTSGGGTTTGTGCYCYRCCTTTGGCACAGCCACTGCYATGTGAGGGGCACCTGTGTGCCCCAAGGACTGGGGAAATAGGGCTGATGGGAAGGGGGAAGGGCTTAAAGCTGCATCCAGGAAATTAATTTCCCTGGGTGGATGCTGGCCTGGATACCTGTGGGATTTAGGAGCACTKACATGTTTAYCTGGTGTCTCAGAGATTGGCCCTGYCCTGGGAGCACCTTCACCTGAGTCAGTCATGTGTCCCTGTCCTGTGTGTCCCTTGAAATGTGTTTTTTCTCTACTGAATTACTCTGCTGATGTTATTTAGTGGGATTTTTGTCTGGCTCACATCTGCTTGAGATGAGTCTCAGTGGTTTTTCTGGGACTCTTGGTAGAACCGTGAGCACTGAAAGTCAGGCACGTGTTTGGATCAAGATGCCTTTAAAGTCTGTGGGCTGAAGCTTAAGTTTATCCAGGGCTAAATATTTCTGAAATGAAGTTCAGTGGTGTTTTCAGGAAGGAAAGTGCCCATATCATGTTGGTGTTGGCTCAGGAGTTGTGCACCGGCTCAGGAAGTGCCTTTTCCTCTGCACTCCATAGAAGTTGGGTATTCAGCTTTCAGTTTTTCAATTCWAATTGAATTGATTCAATTTTTGAAATTTACACTCCATATTTCAAAGAATAAAACATGCTGGGTTCCCTGCCACTTCCCTAAGGTTCTTGGAGTCAAGACCCTGGATTTCAGATATAGTGTAGTGAAATATTCCTGTTCTTTTTCTTTGAGGCCCCTTAGATGCTCTGTCTGAGATTTTCAAATGAGTCCAAAAACCTAAGCACAAAGGTTAAAGCTTCATGAAGAAGTTTGGTCATATCTGCCCAAGAAAGCTGAGAGAACATGGCGAGAACAGCTGAAGAGCTCCCTGTGCTATCCTGGTATTCCAAAATACAGAGCTCATTCCCCTGGACTGAATTTCCAGGGTGTTTGGCCATCTGTTGTTTGCATTCCAAGTCAAATTGGTGGCATTGCTAAATATTTCTCTTGCTGTACAGTAGAGCATGATGTCTTAGAATTCCTTGATCCTGCAGCTGAGTCTCCAARGTGGACATTGAGCTGCCAAAACACATAATGATGGTTGTTCTGTCAGTGGGAATTTGCAATGCTGTGGATCAATCTCCCTATCAGTGCACACCCTTTCATTGTACTTCACACCTCTCCAATGATTTCTCCTATTTAAGGGAAAACAAGAAAGCCCCAGGTCAGAGCGAGTAGGTGGTGAGAAGCCCCTCCCAGCAATGATCTCAGCTTCACWCTGCTTTTCTTTGTCTGTGCAGATAGTGGCAGCAATAATGGCAATCACAGGAATCGTGATGATGGCATATGCAGACGGTTTCCAGGGGGACTCCATCATCGGGGTGGCCTACGCTGTGGGATCAGCCTCCACGTCTGCCTTGTATAAGGTGGGTCACAACTGCTGCTGGGCACTCCCAAATTCATTMATAGTGGCTGTTAAAAACACACAAATATAAAGAGAATCGCTGTAAAATCAGTGTTTTGTTCTATTCGTCACTCATGTTGTGACCAGGCGACGTCACAATGTCAGGAAATCTACCGTGAGGGTGATTAGTTGTTGTCTCCCAATTATCCAGAATGGCTTTTCTTGATGAGTCTTTAATGAAATCTCCTCTGCTATGCCACAAGGAGTTTATGATCATTTTTTAATCATGCCAACGCAGTTTATCACTTCTCAAAGTGGGGTTTCAGAGGGGCTTTCCATGTGCAGCAGCAGGGAGTAGAGCCAGGGAAACGCTGCTTTCCCTGGACAGGGATGGCCAAGACTCATCYCAGGTCTGCACTGAGCTCCCTGCACCTGCTGGGCTTGGAGCCCTGGCACAGGGAATTCACTGGAGACATTTCTGCCTGGAGAAAATTGCTGCTCTGGAAGGGAAGGGATGGAAAAGGCAGGAATATGTGTCAGGAACAGGCTGGGCTGGACGTGGCTGTGTTTATTTCCAGCTCTGTGTGAAGTTTGGAATGAGCTGCAGTGGGATCAGAACCTGCCCTTGCAGTAGACTTTGCTCATCTCAYTCATAAATTCCTTTTGGCCATTCACAAGTCCCTCAAAGTGCACGAATTTAGGCTCAGGGAGAACAAATTGTGCTGAAGTGAGGCCCTCCAGGTTGCTTTTGCTCTCACAGCAGGGTCAGGACTCAGTGGGAATCACTGAAGTCCCCTCCTAAACCCCAAAAGTGTCACACAGAGTCCAAATCCTCCCAAATCCTCCCAAATCCTCTGCATTTATTGCATGAATGGTGTGTCCTTGGTTTATTCTTGGTTTTTCTCGAGTTCTACACCTGCCCCTCGTGGCATTTGGTGTTAAGCTTTTTACACAGACTCAGCCATCCCCACAGTAAAAGACACGGTGCTGAAACACAGGAAAGTGCAGAAATCCRACCAAAGATTGCAAAACTCTYRYRCAGGGAAGGGCTGGGCTGRGGCATTTTGTCCTTTGCTCCAYTCTCCTCATGGGAATGGAGTGCTTCCATGACAGGCACAGACTSYAAACCCCTCSTYTCCTCTCCYCTCTGCAGGTTTTGTTCAAGATGTTCCTTGGGAGTGCAAACTTCGGGGAAGCAGCTCATTTCGTGTCTACCCTGGGCTTCTTCAACTTCATCTTCATCTCCATCACCCCCATCATCCTGTACTTCACTAAAGTGGAGTACTGGTACCCCTTCTCTGCTGTGCCCTGGGGTTACCTGTGTGGAGTAGCCGGCCTCTGGTTAGGTATGTGATAAAAAAATTTATTTATTGTATTTATTTATTSTATTATATTATTTATTTCCCTTCACCCTTCCAAATCCTTTACAGAATCAGCCTCAGGCACAAACAATTTCCCTCTGTCCCCTTAAGCAGCAGAGCTCTCTCACAGATTAATTCTGGTCCCAGTGCAAACTGCTGCTCCTTAGAAATGATTCATATTTTTCATTAAACTTAATGAAACATTACTATTAATTGATACATGATTAATAATGGATATATAAACATAGTTATAATTAATAATAATTAATAATTAACAGTAATAGCAGGGAGTAAACACGAAGCAGCCATACTAATTGCCCGTTTTTTCATCCCTACTGCAGTTCCACACTAATTCCTCTGCCTCTGGTGTAGCTTGACTGCTGTAAATCCATTTTCAGAGGGCTGCACGTTCCCAGTCAGCTCCTGGCACAATTTCTGGGGTGTTTGAGCAATGCCACAGGAGCCCTCTGTGCTGGGGCACCTTTCTAGGGCTGCTGCAGGCTCTGGGCATGAAGCTCCCTCTTTCTGAGCCACAACTGCAGCAAAAWATCTGCTGGATTCAGCCCAGGGGCATTTTAATTTCCACATACAACAACATCCTTTCCTTTAGTAAGTTCTCTATTATTCCATAATTGAAGAGGTTTTTGTCTCACTCCACGCTTATTAAATGGAAGCAAAGAGAATGTCACTGCAAAGAGAATGTCACCAGTCCTGAGACGTGGTGCTGTGAGCACCTTGAGCTGCTCTAASCACAGCTGCAGCTGCCCTGTGAGCTCCCAGGGGACCAAAATTAGGGCTAATTTGTCACCCAAGTGTATAAACCCAGCCATGAGGGGACAGCCTTGTGGACCAGCCTCGTGTTCCTTTTGTGCAGGGCACTCAGCAGGACTGGGTGGTGAACGATCAAAAACTTCTATTTTTGCAGCTTGTTTTTAATCTTTCCAGGAAATTGGAGCTCTTTGGGAGCGCTGTCATGTAAAAAAACAAAAAAAAAAATAGGTTGTTTATATCTGATTAAAGCCTGTAATGTTTGTAAAAGGCCATTCAGCCTTGCCCTGTGCAGGATTTCCCCTAATTTCACACTCGTGTTAAAAAATAAAAATCAATCACTTTGCAACAACTCCATCATTGTGGTGTGGATACTTGAAATCACATTTGTACCTGTAAGGTCGAGGTGGAGGAGAAATGTCTCACTCTCGTGTTTTTCCCTATAATCATGTATGATTTTCTCTGTTTTCCCCTAGCTTTCAACATCCTGGTTAACGTTGGGGTGGTGCTGACCTACCCCATTCTGATCTCCATCGGCACCGTGCTCAGCGTCCCTGGGAATGCAGGTACCCAACTGCTGCTGGCAAAACCAGCCCATGGGCACTCAGAAAGCAGAATTTGTGGGGTGGAAATTGTCCCCAGAGCCTCTGTGTCTGCAATTCCAGTCTCCTCAGCCTCATCACTGTGGGGYTTGAGCAGCAGAAAATATCTGGTTTTAGAGGAATGCAGAAGTAAAGCATAGCCTGTAGGGCTCAGATGTGCTGGTGGTGGAGCTGGGAGGCACCTGSAGCTCTCTGCCCATCCCTGCATCCTGCTGTTGATACAGTTACCATAAAGTGCCTTCCTCTCAGAGCAGAAATCATGGAATCAGAGATTCATCAGGGTTGGAAGAGACCTCCAAGATGATCAAGTCCAACCTTCAACCCAACCCCCCCTGCCCACTGAACCATAAAGGGAAGTGCCATGTTTAGCTCATTTTTTTGGACACTTTCAGGGTGGTGATTCCACCACTGCCCTGGGCAGCCAGTTCCAGTGCCTTAAAACTCTTCCAGTGTGTTCCAGATTTTCCTAAATCCATTCTGTCTCAACTTGAGGTCTTTTCCAGTTGTCCTGTCCCTGTTCCCTGGGAGCAGAGCCCAACCCCATTTGGCTGCCCCCTCCTGTCAGGGAGTTTTGGGGAGTGAAAAGGTCCCCTCTGACCCCTCTTTTCTCCAGGCTGAGCCCCTTTCCCAGCTCCCTCATAGCCCCTTCACCATAGAAATCTTGAAGTTTAGTCCAACCCCTCCAGGCTTCCTCAGATCCTRCACAAGGTGGTGAGGAGATGTCACCTCCAGCACTGCTCTGTCAGGTCAAAACTATTCCCTGAGCTCAGGGAGCTGCTCAAGCTGGAAATTTGGGAGCCACATGACCAGTGCCACACCCAGAGCACAGCACAAAGGTCTCAGGGACGTGCCAGGCTGCTCTGGGTGCTGTCACCCACCCTATTACAGGTTTGACCCCATTGTTTGTTGTTCCCCCTCTTCCCAGCCGTGGACCTGTTGAAGCACAAAATGATCTTCAGCGTGGTGAGGCTGGGGGCCACCATCATCATCTGCATGGGCTTCCTGCTCATGCTGCTCCCTGAGGAGTGGGATGAGATCACCCTGAGGTTCATCAACAGCCTGAAGGAGAAGAAGAGCGAGGATCACGCCGAGGACATGACGGAATCCAGCGTGCACACGAGGAGCAGGAGCAGAGCCAACGGGACAGTGTCCATCCCGCTGGCATAGGGCCAGAGGTGTATTCTGTGAATATGGCTGAACTCTCCTCACTGCCTGTATGCTTCAAAAGATGACATCTAACCTGAGCAGGGGATGAACTGTAAGATAAGGGAGAAACATCCATGAGAAATGTTTACATTTATACGCTTAACAAGGAACGGGTGTAAATAAMTACAATAAAATTTTTTTGTAATGAAGGGGAGTCTGAGCTTGTGTCTTCCCCAGCTGGGGGGTTTAAAATGTGGATCAGGTTTCTGTGGTTTATCTCCCTTTGCTGGCAGAAGAGCTGTTCTGGAGGATGCAAATCTTGGATATTTCCAGCTAAATCCCACAATTTAACATTTTGACTTCCTTTTGATGAAGTGCCCTTTCAGCGAGGTGGTGGTTTTGGAAAACCATTCCAAACCTCGCCTGGCATTTTGGGGAGTTCATTTCTGAAAGACACTGATATTCACATTAATATTCCTAATTATTATCAAAATAAATACTCCATGATGTGCAAAACATGAAGCTGCCCCTCCCAGCCCACACTGAGCTGTTTCTTTCCAAAACCACCTCTCTGGAAGTGGTGCTGGAATTTGGGTGCCTTTAGTAGAGCAAAAAACAGCTTTGCTTACCTTATTTTCTCCCAGAAAAGCTGCACTCCCAGCTGAACTACAAAAGCCTCAGGAGAGATGGAACAACCTGGATCACTGGTGTCCCTGGGAAATGGCATTTCCTGTTTTCTAGAGCTTTGGGAAAAATGAGGATTTTTCTTAACTTCCGCTGTGGAAAAGTCAAAAGCCAAAGCAAACCAACCAACCTCCCAATCCCTTCCCTAAACCTGGTCCTGTGTAATTTAGGGATTTATAGCATTCCTGGGATTGACCACTCATTGACCACTGACTGTGTTTGAGAGTACTCGATAGGCAGACAAACATTTAAAGCATTTTTCCTTATTTGTTTGCTTCTTTTGGTTTTTTTTGGGGGGGTGGTGGTATTTGTTGTTTTCATTTGTTTTTTTATTTGGTTTTGGGTTTTTTTGGGGGCTGGTTTTTAGGGGTTTTTTTGGGTTTTTTTACCTGTTTTTGGTTGGTTTTGATTGGTTGGTTTGGTTTTTGGGGTTTTTTTTTGTGTTTTGTTTTTGTTGGGGTTTTTTGTTGGGTTTTTTCTTCTTTTTTATGAAGAATACAAACAACTGGAAATTATCACAGATTGCTGCACTCTGCTGGCTTTCCTGTCCACAGTTTGTGAGTTTGATTAGCACCCAGTGTGGGTGTTTTTCAGTGGTATTTCTGCTAGAGGAAAAAAAATCACGTAATACTAATTTATTTGATTGTTTTTATCTGATTCTTCTGTTGGATGCTTTTATAATCTTYTAATTTTTATGTCTAAATTGTTCCTTGAAGCCAACAGAACAGAAAAAAATATTTGTGTGTATTAAAAAACCCACAAATATGGGTTCTTTCATCATATGGGTGCAGAATTAGGGCTGGGGAAACCAACCCAACCAAGTGTCCCCTGTGCCCTAAACCCAGAGGTGTAATGTTTGGATGCACACCCACATCTCTTACAGCTCCTTTCTGCTGCTTTTGAAAAGATAAAAAAAAAAATTTCAAAAAAAGTGAATTATAAAGATGCTGATGGGCTGAGAGCACCCAGCACGTGGCAGCTTGGCCTCTCCCCACGGTTTTGGAGCTGATACATTAATTTACAGTTCTAGATAGTTTTGGGGATGTGTTCTACTGAAACTTTAGCTCCTGCCAAACCGAGCACGTGGGAAAACAAAACTTTCATTTTGGGATGCATTGATGAGCGCTCCTTGGCAAGCATTGTCAGGCCCGGGGCTGGATCCTTCAAGGAACTCACTGAGAATTGAGCAGGGAAAATCACATGAAATGCCCATGTTTGAGCCAGCTTTCCCCATGGCATGGGGTGTTAAAAGGACTTGGATCCCAGCAGGGAAACCTTGAGCAGAGCAGCCATGCTTTGGTTCCATTTTCACAGAAGGGTTTGGGTGGAAAKGACCTCAAAGCCCATCTGACCCCACCCCTGCYGTGGGCAGGGACAGCTTCCACTATTCCAGGGTGCTCCAAGCCCATCCAGCCTCCCTTGGACACTGCCAGAGATGGGATATCCTYGGATTCTCTGGGCAATCTGCTCCCAGATTTGCATTCCAGGGGTGTTCGTCCCCCTCAGCAATGCCTTAAAATCTTCCTTACCCTTCTGCCCAACTTCAGTTTAAATTATTTATTAAGAAATAGTGCTTTTCTCTGGGGTGCAACTCAGCCTTTCAGCTGGAGAAAAACCCACCCAACAAGGAAATCAGATAACAAACCGAGGCTCTTTTTCCTGATGCTGTTGGTGACCCATCAGAGGAATGGCAAACCCACAATCACCCCATCCAGTGACCCATCAGATGTCACTGTTTCCACTGCTCTGGGTGTCTGCCCTTCGGCAATGTGGGGTTTCATTTCTCTGGCAGCCCCTTCTCTTCAGCAATGTGGGGTTTCATTTTTCTGGCAGCCCTTCTGCCCTAAAGCAATGTGGGGTTTCATTTTTCTGGCAATCCCTTCCACCTTTCAGCAATGTGGGGTTTCATTTATCTGGCAGCCCCTTCTCTTCAGCAATGTGGGGTTTCATTTTTCTGGCAGCCCCTTCTGCCCTAAAGCAATGTGGGGTTTCATTTTTCTGGCAATCCCTTCCACCCTTCAGCAATATGGGGTTTCATTCCTGTGCCACTTTCTCCCAAGGAAATGCCCCTTTTTTCCCGGCGGCTGCGTTATTGGATTCTCTACATTATCAGGTTCTCCTCACCAGGGCTGGGCTGTCCGGAAGGAAAACCAAAAAATGCTGGGAGTGACCCTCTCTGCCATCCCCAGCAGTGCCTGTCCTCCTTGTAGGGTCACCAGCCAGCACCACGGACAGCGTTATCAGCGCCACCAATGTCCCCAAACCGGGCTGTGACATCACTGTCCCCTCTGGGTACCAGCACAGGGAGGAACGAGCCACATTTCTTGACCTCTCCGATGTGGAATAACCATCTCCATCAGCGTTGCTGTTCATATCCCAGCCAGGACAGCCCTGCTGGGTTCTTTTTCTCTCTTTGCCCATCCCTTTGTTGGTGCTGTCGCTGCCCCAACGAGCTGTGAGCAGGATAAACAAAACCCCGCTCGCATCGCTGGGGCTGCTTCTGTTTTTCTCGCTGGAGATTTGCATAAAAGCATTATTCTGGCATAAATCCATTCCACCCACTTTCCATCTCCACCTTGGCCCACGTCTTTTTGAGATTTGAAATTCATTTTGTAAGGAGAAGTTTTAGGCAGAGGCGACTCCGCTGTTGCATTTGGATTTTTGAGCTGTGCCCCTTGGTTCACCTTTGCTCTGGGTGAAGGTGAATAACAAACTCTGCTCCTCCGTGTGAAAATGCCCTGCCCCAGTCATGGCTCTGCCCTGCCCTTGAGCTTTTCCCAATATCTTCCTTAAAAAAGGGCTATCAGAGCACTTAGGAGCCAATTATTTCGTTTTGACTGCAAGAAATTCACTGAAAAATCCCGTTCTGACAGGAGCATCATAACAGATTCCACCTGAATTTGGTGAAGGGTTTAAGGCAGTAAATGAAATAAGAGAAAGGGGGAAAATCCTTCCAGCTCTTCTGGGAGGACCTGAGGGCTGTCCCTACTGGACCAGAGCTCTTCCAACCCCCTGTTTCTRCATCACAGTGCTCGGGAATTGAACTGAACTTTAAATAGAATTCCACACAGATAAAAGATCAACAAAGATAAAAGATGAAAAAAGATAAAAGGCTGCATTAATTAACCCCAGTAAAAGGGAAGGATGAGCAGCCCTGCCCAGGAACTCAGCTTGTCCCCATCCTCCTGCAGCCTTCTCCAACCCCAAACCTTCCACTGCTGCTCTTGGCCCTCTTTTCCTCCTTTGGGAAGGAAATACGGACAGGAGAGGGGATTGAGGAGAAGGGGGAGCCTGCCAGGATTTCAGCAGCTCTGGGTGAAACACCAGAAACACCAGGCACTGCCTTCAACATCCACGTGGGATTCCACTGCTCCCACACATCCATCATTGGATTAATTCATGATTTTCCCAAGCTGCTTAACAGGAACRACCTGTTCTCAGCAGGGGAAGGGTGATTAAAATGAAAAAGAAAAATAGACAGGAAGCATTGAGAAACTCAGGAGGGAAGCAGGGCGTTGATTTTACATTTTCACTTGGAAAGAAAAAGGAAAAAAAAAATTACAGGCCAGGCTGCTCTGCTCCCTCGTACCCTGTGTGACCTGGGAAAAGCAAAGTCATGAGATGCTGGTGCTTTGTGGATGAAAATGTGAAATGTTTTGTTGCYCCAGGGATGGATATTTCCTTCTGGGAGCAACCTGGCCTAGAGGAATTTGTCCCTGCCCATGCCAGGGGGCTGGAACTGGAAGATCTTTATGTTCCCTTCCAATCCAAACCCTTCTAAGATCCTGTAATTCAATGAACTACCAAATATGGCTCACTTTGACCAATATTCCCACTTGGCTTTGTCCTAAAGCTGCTTTTTTTCCAGCCAGCAGGAGTAAGGGATTCTCCTGGGCCATCCCAGGATGGGACACACTTCAACCCCTCTGCTGCTCCAAAATTACTCCCAAAACCTGAAGATTTATCAAAACAGCTACTTGAAGGAATACCTCCAGACCAGCTGGGGTGGTGAAAATCACTTGTAGGTAAAAACAAATCTTCTCCAGGGTTTGGCAGTGGCTTTTGTGTGCTCTGCCAGCAGCAGCAGCCCCCGCTCATCCATGGCAGGGATGGGTCAATGTTTAACCAGGCTGGGCAGGACGGCTGTGGGAGTGGGCAGGGAACTGCCAGGGCTCACAAGGATCCCTCCAAGCTCGGGGAGGGCGGTTTTTGGGGGGTTTCCCTTTTCCTCTCCGAGCCCTGGCCCTGCAGGATGGGTCTGAGCCCCTCCAGGGCGCACCCCAAGGTGACCAAGGTGGCCCCGGTGTTGGTCCAGGAGGATGTGCCCGCTCTCAGCGCCCCAGGACAGCCCACCCTGCATCCTCCAGGGGTGGCACAGTGGGGACAGCCCCTGTTCCCCCTGGAGCTGCCMCCTCTCCGGGACACGGGGCACGGCAGAGCCTCGGCAGGTGAGGGGACACCGCGGGCTGTCGGGGCTCACCGGGGCTCTGYGTTTGCTTGCTGGGGTGGGCTCTTCTGCTTTTTACCATTTCCAGGATGTTTTAGCTTTGGGAAAACTCATTTTTTCCCTCTCCACTGTTTTGGAAATGTTTTGGAAAGCGTCTCAGCCATCAGAGCCCAGATGAAGCTCCTTGCTCCCATCGGTCATCCCTGACATCCCCCTGTGTCCAGCCAAGCCCTTGTCCGGCCACCCTGTGACCCCCATCTCACCCTTGGCACTGCACTGATCAGAATCAGATCCTGGGCAGGTCAAACCCAATTTTGGAATAAAGATTTCCCAGGCCAGGAGCAGAGAAAAGCAGAGAAAGGCAGAGAAAAGCAGAGAAAGGCAGACAGCTCTGTTTGTTTCCCCACCAGCAGCATCCAGGAGAGCCTTGAAGCTCCATCCACACCCAAATCCTTCCCAGAGGCCGGGAAGGAGGTTTTCATCCCTCCTGAAGGGGATGTGGAGCTCTCTGTGATGAGCTGATGGTGGCAAACCCTTCCCAGAGCTGCATGAGGGGAGCACGGGGAGAAAAAACCCTGAAAAACTGTGGGGTTGAGGAGGATCCGCCGCTCCAGCAGCCTCCTCGATTCTCCACTCCCAAAAATCGATTCCTGATACCCACACAAAGCACCTGAACAGCACTGCTTCACCGGAGGGTGGATATTTCCTCCAGGATCATTTATCAGGGGAGCAAATAAACCTCTGGCACGAGAGCGGTGACATTCCCAGAGCTGAGATTTTGGGGAGAATACAGCTCAGGTCTTGCTGTAGAAGGGCAGGTTTTAAACACTCCATGAGAGCAAGAACAACCAAATGTTCCTGTTCTGGAAAATTATCATTGAGCATTTAACAAATGCTTGTTWAAAAAATGTGAATTTTATAAAAAAAAACAAACTTGTAACCCCCCTCAATAATTTTCCATTCTTTTTTTAGGGTTTTTTAGTGATTTTCCATTAGTTTCCACTTTCAGAAGCAGGAAGGGAATGCTCAGGAGGGTTTGAGCAATGTGCTGGCTCGAGCTGCTGTCTAAAYAAGCAGAGCCTCCAAGAGAACAGGTTTTATTTGGTTTCTGAGGGTTCAGTTTGGTGTTTTAAGCCCAGGTTGCCCCAGAGGGGAGGATCTGCTGCTGCTGCAGAGCCACAGGGATGGCAGGAGCTGGGCTGGGTGTGTTCCCTGCTCAGGGGGACAGATTTGGGGTCAGAGAGCCCTCAGGCCCCATTGTGACTGCAGAGGAAAAGGGAAAATCCCCCACAGGGCATGGGCAGGAGGGGAAAATTAAAACCAGCCCCAAACACGCAGGGCACAAACCATCAAACTTCACAGGGAAAAATAAGAGCTGTGCCTTTCATCAGGATGAGCCTTTCCTCAGCCACAGCCCCATTCCCTGGGCCCTGACCCCATTCCCAGCTCCAGGAGCCACCTCCTCCCTTTTCCCTTCCCCAGAAATCCCCCGAGCTCTCCCTGTCCCTACARACAGAGCTGACACCCCATAACCCCCCTTTAGCTGCTATTTCCACCACGTGTCCCCTGCTGATGGAATTTGTCTCCTGGGCTGGAAATTTTCCCCTCCAGGCTCCCATTCCTGCAGGAGTGGAGCAGTTAAACATTGCCAGAGCTCAGCAAACATTGACCCGCTGGAGCCATCACATCCCAACACTCAGGGGAGGGAGGAATTCCTGCCTGGGAGGTGGAGAGGCTCTGAAAGTGCCCAGAGGAGCTGCCCCATCCCTGGAAGTGCCCAAAGCCAGGTTGGATGGGGTTTGGATCAATCTGGGATAGTGGAATGGGGGTGGATTGGGATGATCTTTAAGGTCCTTTCCAACCCAAACCATCCTGAAATTCCGTGATCATTCTCTCTCTCTTCTCCAAGAGCCAAACCCCGTGATCTTCCACGAGGGCCAAGGAAAAACCCCATAAATTGACCTCCAAAGCATTATTTTTCTTGTTCAATTAGGTTTTCTTGTTAAATTTTCTTGTTAAATTAAATGGTGACTGTTAAATTTGGCATCAGCTTTAATTCACCCCCTGCACTTTTCCCCTCCCCTGTGAGCACCTCAGGGCTCAGCCACACCTCACTTAACTCCACATAAAAAATGTCATTTAAATGCACCAGAATAGCTTTTTGGGGTGAATGGTGGGATAAACTGATAAATTGTGATGTAAAGAAACATTTTCTGTGCGTACAAGGGTTTATTTGTGCAAGAAAAGAGCAAAAGGGGCAGTGAAAGGGAAATCCCAAATTGCTGCCTGAGTGTAACAGGGACAGAGAGATTTGGGGTTTTGTGGCCAGCTGGTGGCCAGGGGAGGAGAAAAGTCCTTTGGCCACCYAAATCCCAGGGCTGGGAGAGGCCACAGGATGGTGATGATCATATTTAGAACCATGAGGGGTGGTAGAGGGAATTTGGAGAGGTTCAAAAAGGGCGTTTTTTGGGTATTTTGTTACACCCCCTTCCCTTCTGCATCCCGCAGAGCATTCCCTGTGCTGCTGGAACACACAGAGGGGGAGCTCAGTGGGATGTGCCACCCAAAAATRGGGCAGGAAAGCACTGCTGAGGGCACCCCAGCAGGTGATGATCCCCCAAAAATAACCCCATCCCTTTCTTTACCCTTCAAGGGCCGCTSTGTCTCAGCGCTGCACCCGGGGAGGAAGGAACCAGCATCATCAAACAGCACCCACCTCGAAGGGCTCGGGTAAGGGGGTTTGGGGGATCCTGGAGCTGCCCTGATGGAGCTCTGGGTATGGGATTGTCCTGCCCCACTTTCTATGGGGTGTGTGGGGTCCTGCAGCCCCGTCCTGGGGCTCCTGTGGGGTCATTACAGCGCTTTATGGGACAGATCCAACTTCTGTCACACAGGGCTGGCTTTGGCTCCTCAGCCCAAACTTTCCCAAAAGGTCAGGAACCTCTTTAGGGCAGAGAGGGTAAAACAGCTTTGGCTCCTCAGCCCAAACTTCCCTGAAGGGTCAGGAACCTCTTTAGGGCAGAGAGGGTAAAGCAGAGCCAGGGGAAGCCACAGGAATGTTCTGGAGCAGGGGATGGTGACAGACAGAGCAGTTTTTTTATTCCAGATTCCAGAATCGCTCTGTACCTGCCTGAACCCCCCTCAATTCCCCCATCCTGCACTCCCCACACCCATTCCTCCCCAAACCCCAAACCCCACAGCTCTGTCTGACCCAACAGGCAGGATTTCCCCCACACCATTACACAGCTAAAGYTCAGAAATGGCTTTAAATCTTCATTTCTGCCCCTGTGCTCGGCACTGCTGAGGCCACAGCTCRAATCCAGTGTTCAGTCACAAACTTTTTTTCTAAAAAAAAAAATTTTTTAGAAAAATTTCTTCCTAAAATCCCACCTGAATCCTTTTGGAGGAGAAGATTCTTTTCCCAGCCTGGCCTAGCAGGAGCAGAGGGGTTTGTCCTCAATGTCCCTCCCACCCCAAACCATTTTAGGGTTCCAAACTCACTGGAGCAACGATACTTGGCTGGAGAGTTCCTTGCTGTGATTACAAACTTTAAAATATGATAAAGAGTAGAAAAAAACACCAAAAGGGGTGACTGTAACTCCCTCCCGTTGGGGATGTGGCTTTGGGTGACACCAGAGAGCAGAGGCTGTGGAACCTGGATTTGGGGGAGCTCCTGGATTGAGCCACCTGATCCCTGAAAACTCACATGGAATCAGAATTCCCTTAGGAAACCTCTGACCAGTGTGGAATTTCTGATTATTATTTTTTACTATTATTTTATATTATTATAATTATAATTATGAT